TGCCTGTAATTTTCCTTTATGTACAATGGGATTTTTTTCTTTCCAGCAATGAGCATGTAAATTTGGAATACAAATTTTAACCAGGAGATGAAAAGGTCAAAATACATTATTAATGGAGAAATACATTCTAAGTACAAAAAGTAGAATACAAAATTTTATACAGAGAATAATTCCAATTTTTAAATATAATTATTTATATATGAATATATATCTATTTTATAATAAACCTCTTGCTTCTGTGATTATAAGTGGAAGGGAGCAAGAGAAAGAGAACTGACATTTGCAGGTAGTGAACTGAGGTTCAGAGAAGTTGAATGACTTATTCAAAATCATGCAGCCCACAAATGGGAGAGCTGGGATTTGAATCCAGACAATCTGGGTACAGATCCTGTACTTCTTATCAGTGTGCTCCTGCCTCTCAGGCACTTTAAATACATCATCTGTAATTCTCACAGCAACCCTGCAAGGTGGGCACTATTATTCTCATTTTATAGTCACTTAGCATCTCTGGAGCACAGTTTCACCATCTCTGAAATGGGCATAAAATGAATTTCCCCATCAGAGGGTCATGGTGTAACAAATGAGAAGGTGTATGTGACAATACTTCATAAAGGGCTTTAAAAAGGGCCCTGTATGAGTAAGGCACATCTTTGTCAAGGGGAATTCACACTGAATGGTGAGTCAGGGCTCAGGGCCTGCCTGCTTAGCTGGTACCCTCTCACCAACCAGCACCCTGGGTGCGATCTGGAGGCATGCTAGGCTGACTGGCATGCCAGTCCTGACAGATGATCAGGGAGTTGGCCTTCAAAGCCGGGACCCCCTGCACCTTCCCTTGGCTCCTGCAATGGGTGAATAGCCTTAATGTGAGATATTTCCTCGTTTCTCACAGCCTCCCTGTGACTAGTGACCTGAGAGTCACTGAGTCACATTCAGAATCTGTTTCCTGTTTTTAAATGAGGACAACAACCATAAAGGAAAACAAAACAAACCACTAAAGCTGAACCTGAGTCACGCTGTAGAGCACTTTTTGTCTCACAGTTTAAAAACACTGTAACAGCATTCTTAATGAAGCTTGAAATTCAAGTTTAATTCGGAAAGTATTGCTTTGAGCCCAGCAAACTGTGAAGAGAAACCAGGAGTTTTCAGAAAACTTGAAGAGGAACAGTTGTGTCTACAACAGAACCATTGAGCCTGAGGTTCACACTGAAAAGCTCTAGTGTGGCCAGACCTCATGAACAATGGCAGTTTCTGCCACTTGCCAGCTATGTGACCTGGGCAAAATATTTCTGCTCACTGAGCCCCATTTCCTCACCATAAAGAAATGGTGAGGGGATAAAAACGCGTATCTCCCGGTATTGCTGGGTAGAGGCATAGCTGCTTTGCAAACTGCAAAATGATATGTAAGTTATTCTCGTCCTCTGGTTGGCTGTGTGGTACTGTTGCAGTCTATTTAAATTTGAGTAAGTCCTCATACTACAGTTCCAGGAGGCGGATAGATCACCAGCAGAAGGTGCAAGGGCTCTAAGGTCACAGGCCATGTGGGATGGCTCAAGAGTCTTGGGTCCCGGTCCAGGCCGTGTTCACGACTTTCTGTGTGACTTTGATCCATATGATGTCACATCCCCTCTCTGGGCTCCAGTTTCCCTGTCTGCAGCATGCAGAGGAGCAGAAGGAAGGAGCTGAAGTCTATGTGTTCTGCCTCTTCCAGGCTGTTACCCGACATTAATCTAATTCCTTCTCCAAGCCCCGCAGTCACATCAGCCAAGACCAAATACTCAGCAAGACTCTAACACTTCCCCCTCCACCCTGACTTATTTCTCTGGGATTATGCTATGTCCCACAGCATGGCTGAAATAAAGGCACTATTTCATTCTGTCTCCATTAGATTTAGCTGTTTGGATAACAATTTCTTCCAAATGACTGTGAGCTTCCTGGGAGGGAAAGACTGGGCCATGTGCATTGGTCTTTATATCCCCTCAGAAAAGAACATGGTGCCTTGTAGACAGCAGGAGCCTAACAAATGCATGCTTGACTGAACTAAACCAACAGCCTAGTGCTAAGTACAGCACCTTCTCCTGTTGCCTCGTACAGCCTGTCCTGTTTCTCTCTCCACTACAACTGTCTCTGTTTGGCCAAGACCAAGAATGACAAGAGGGGCCAGAGAGGAAAGCTTTGTCCCCTTCAGCACTTGGGGACAGCCTTCCCACCGTGGTTGTTTCATCCATGTCACCCTTCAAAGCTGGGACTCCCTGCACCTTCCCTCAGCTCCTGCAATGGGTGAAGAGCCTTAAGGTGAGATGTTTCCTCATTTCCCAGCTGAGAACCCAAGGCCAACTTCCTCCACAGCCTGGTCTCCCCAGCTGCTTGTCTTCCCGACCATGAGGACCCACGGGATGTCCTACTGGCTAGACTGGGAGCCTCACCAGACAGTCCACAGTACAGTGCCCAAGCCTCTGTTAATGTCAGCTGACTGGGTGTTCCTTCCTCACAGCAACTATTCCACTGCATTGCAGCTGTGTGCTGCTTTGCTTTCCCTGCAGAGTGTGAACACACAGGGGCTGTGTCTTATCTGCCTCCGAAGCCCGAGGAGCCAGGACAGGGCTGAGGCACAATACACACTCAGTTAACATTTGTTGAGTGAATGAATAACCTCAGGCTATAGTGCTATTGCATGGCTTTGCTAGGAAGAATGTAAAAGCTCATTTCCAGTCTGGAACATGTTCCATAAATGCATATAGGTATATTCTCCTATAATTGGGGATTTTCTGATCATTCTCTTCTAGTCCCTGCTGCTTCTTCTCTCAGAGCCGCTGGCAGAGGCTCCATTTCCCTGGGGTCAGCAGAGCCCCATTTCCTATGATGAGAAGCTTTCTCCCACCAAAGCTGTGGGGCTTTGGGCTCCTGTTTGCTCACACCCCAGGTAAACACTGGTGAGTTCTAGCACTGGGAAGGCAAAGCGCCGGCTTTGAAGGATGGTAAATAGGGGACACGCAGTATTGCATTTCATGTGAGGGAATAAATGAACTTGTTTTATGCCTATTCTCGTATGTGTGTTGGGAGGGAGGTGTGCCCTCTCCTCACATTTCTCAAGGGCATTCAGTTCTTCTGATGCCCAGATGTTCAACAGCTGTTTGAAGGCTTTGGCCAAGAGCCTGGATTCTCGAGAAGGGAATGACTCTGCGGTGCAGCTCCCATCCCCTTCTCTCCCAATTACGTGACTGTTTTGTTAGTCCTGGAATTGTGTCTACACAGACAAAGTGAAGGGGAATGTGGAGGAAATGTGCAGATAATTCAGGCTGGTATCCTTTCCTGTGAAGAGCAGATATTACTGCACTTCACCCGCCTGAAGACAGGGACGCTCGGCCCCCTTCCCTTCTTTGCCCGGCCTTTACCTGTGACGATCTCTCTGAACGGAGAGCCCTTTCCTTTCTTACTCCCACAATAACCAATATAGAACTCAACACTAGCACTTATTGCTGTCCACTAGCACTCTGCTTTGGGTCTTTCTCCCTCATTTGAATTCCTGAAGTATAGGGACAGCACTTGGGTCATCTCTGCAGCTGGCCTGGCCCTGGCCCCATTAGAACTCTATATATTTATGGAACATAAGAACTATGTTCCACAAGTTTCAGACTGCTGAAGGGACATTTTAACCCTGAGAGATCTCAAGAGGAGAAAGTGGGCCTGCTGTCTCCGCCTAGCTACTAAGGCTGAACCCCATGAGCTTCTTACTACAATTACTACACTGGGCCCACATCTGGGTGTATACACCTCCCAGATGCCAGCAGCAGGTAGGACCGGAAGCTGGATCAGACAGAGACCAGTGGTCTGAAACAGCCCTTTTTAGGTTGCTGGAAACAACTCAGAGCAAATGAACCAGAAGTAATCACAATAGCATACACTTGGCCTTTTAATCCTCGTGGTGTTTTGAGACTGTAGAATCGCTCTAAGGAGAAAATTCTCAAATGTTAGCATGCTGTATTTCTGCCTATTGATTTCCTACTGTGTGCAGTATATATACTAGGAAGTCCCTTGGTATAAATGTGAGGTCGCTGCATAAACACATTTGGACTAGGCCAACTGTTAGGCTATGATTAGAAAGGAAGAGTTAACTATTTCCTTTTTTTTCATATCTCTGTCTTTTACTCTCCTCATAACCCCCTTTGATTGGTAGACTCAGAAAGAATCAACCTATCTTCCAAGTGGGGAAGTGGAGTGCATTATGGTTATACTTTTCCCAGTTCACACAACAGAAAGACAAAGGCTAATTCTAGGATGAATGTAAGGACTGGAATGGTCTTCATGATCCAAATGCCTCATTTTATAAATAGGGAGCATGAGGCCCAGTGACATCAAGTAGCTTGCTTAAGGACATACCGGGAGTCAGAGACAGAATTGGGATTAGAACCCTGGTCTCTTTACTCCCAGTTAATAAATTTTCCATAAGACTAGGCCTCCCTTCTTAAGGGTTTTGATAGTAGCCCTTGGAAAAAATCCAACAGCAAAAACAAATTCTATTACAAACTCATAGGGGCAGAAGGTGTGGGAGCAAATTGGCCCCAGTGTGTGTGGTAAGGGTACCCACCAGAATCAGAGGAGAAGGAGCCCTGGCTAAAGGTAAGCTAGCCTCCCTCCTGCGGACAAGTGTCCTTTCGTGATACAGAACTGGATGGCCTCTTCTTGTCCACATTCAGTGAGAGGGAGCTCCTAATTTTGCCAGGCAACTCATTCCACTATTAAAATGTTAGAAAATTCTTTCTTCCATATGCTTTCGCCCCTGCACTCACCATCAGATGGCAATTAATTTTATTTATGTTAATTTTAATTAATTCAAGTGTAACCACTAGTGATAATGCACTCACTCCTTAGTCCACGTGTACAGTTTTACACCCACCCTGCAGGCCTCCCTGACCAGCAGCTGGTTGTGTTGGTTGTTTGCTAATGCAGCTATGCCCACCCTCCGTGCAATGCCTCCCACCCTGCTGGAGCTACAGCCTTACCTCCATCGTTGTCTTTGTTGTCACCACAGGCTGTTTCCATGGATGTGTCACAGCCAGCTCCTCTCCAGCCCAGCTGGCAGACACAGTGCCACCCATTCAGGTCCAAGGTACATCTGCCATTGCCATTGCACAACCCAGGGCAACCCTCTGCAAGGCAAGCACACAGAATTACAGTCTGATCACCCACAGCCAACTTCAGTCACATGCACACACTCCGCCTGCCAACTCACACAGTGCTTTCACATCCAACAGCACACGGACGCCCTCCGCACCCAGGGAGGATGTTACCATTAGGAGCTGCCACTTTACCAAGAAGGCAACAGGGACTCAGAGTTGAAGGACTTGCTAAGGCCACACAATCAGGATGGGGAACAGTCGGGAAGTGGCAGGGATAGGTCTGAAACCCACACCTTCTGCATCTAACACCCCTTTTAAATGCTATTGGGATTCAGGCGTGGGAGTCAGTGGGTGTCAGCCTGTCAGAACCTGACCAGTGGAGCTTCTTGGCTGATCTTGCTCCATGTTCATGCGTGTATGTTTTCTGTCTCTGGCAGCTGTTTGGAACAAAGGAATCACCTCTGTCTACTGTATGTCCCCTCAGCACCTCTGGCTCTCATTCTAAAGGGCTGTACTTTCCTCAGCTCCTCTTACTAGGTCAACTGTATTGGGACCTAGGCTTTTCATTTATTTTGTCCTATTTTCTCTTAAATACCTGTTTTTGCTTTGAGGAAGAGTCCTTGGGTCTTTTTCTTCCCATCTTATCTATAACCACTCAGAAGAGGGCTCTGCACCCGAGGTGCACTGACGACTGCTGAGAGATGGGCAGGGCTGTCTGGGACTGCACATGCTCATGCGGGCACACAGCCCTTCCCTAATTGCTTCATCTGTACATCCGTCTGCCTATCATTCATTGAGCACTTTCACTGGCCTAGCACTGGAGGCACAGAGATGAGTAAGACCTAGTTCTCAGTCTTGAGGAGCATACAGCCTATCAAAGGAGACAGGTTTGTATAAGTCAAATATTTCACTGCCAAGTGCCCCTGGGGAGAGGTACAAAATATGGTAGGAACCTAACCCAGGAGTGGCCATCTGTTTGGCAGGGCTGTGGATGACTTAATCAAGAAGGGTCTGGCCATATTCACACTCTGCCTTCCTGCCTTGACCATATCATAAGGTGTTACTATTCAAGTAGATTTACTGTGTTTTGATTACTACCTTTTCAAACCCCTCTCTCTGAGTTTGTGGCTTAGGAAATGTCTGTCTGAGAATCTGTTAAGTTACATGGTTCACCTCAGATTTTGCCACTTGATTTTCATTCAAGTCCTCATTTTAATAAACCGGCCAACTCCCTTCTCAGGGAGGCTATCAAAAACCACCTTTCACTGGCATGCCATCCATGTCTTCTCTCTACCCCTGCTTAGTCTCGGGGAAAGCTTTGGATATGAAAGCACTGTCATCTATAATTTGTTTCATTATTATGAGCAGAAAACTGCTACAACTATGGATATACATGGAATTTTTTGCCATGAAAAAAAAAAACCCCAAATTGACCCATTATTCTTAAATGGGACAAACGTGAATGTACTGTCCAGTAGAAGGCCCAGGCCAGGGCAGTCACTCACTCACTAAATAGCCAATCAGAACCCAGAACTTGAGTGTTTCATGGACTTTTGATAGCTGCCTGTTACTACAAACTAAAAGAAAAGTGCTCATTTGCATTTGAGATGTTCAATACATTAACCAGTTAATCTGGCCATTGTGTTTTCCACTGGAAGGACTACACATTTCTGGAGTGCATACGCCAAGCCTAGGAGAGAATCCTCCAGAAGGTTAGAAGCAAATATAGATTATGTGGTCTTTGCACAGCAGGAGCCTGTTGGGAAAGGTGGGAAGCCACCAGCACAGCGGCCCCAAAAGTGATGGAGAAAGCAGTTGTTAAAGCGCAGGAGCAGTGCTGGCATGCAGGTGACTACCCAGGCATTCGGATTTGGCAGCCAGCATCAGCCACCCCTCCAGATCTAAACAACTACAGACTCTTCTTTTCCCATTTAAATTTCTGTCCATCTGGGCAGGAATTCCTTTCAATCAGCCTCATTTGTATTTGAAGTCAGCCTTGGAGAAAGTAGGGTCCAGTTGTTAAGAATGGTAGTAGATTACTTTCTCTTGCTCCAAGATGTAGCCTCTTCTAAGATGCCAAGAACATCTCTTGCGTAAGAGCACAAGCTTGGGAGTACTATCAAAGACTGGTTCTGCTACTTATGTTCTTTGCACCTCAGTCTACTTATAAAATGAAGTTGTTGGGAGGATTAAATGAGATAATGTATGCATGATGCACAAAGCCTGACATACAACTTGAACAAAATATCTGAATCTTCTACTCACCTTAACATTCTATTTTGAGGAGAAGTTATATAATCTCGTAAGTTGTACCTATAACCTCAGTAGGGCTCACAGAAAGGCAAAATAGGAAACTGAAGCAATTATCTAGATCAGAGTCAGCAAGTTTTTTCTGTAAAAGTCCAGATAATAAACACTATAGGCTTGTGATCTGTATGGTATCATTCCAATTGCTGGACTCTGCCACTGCCACTTGAGCAGTCACACACAATTTGTAAATGAATAAGCATAGCTGTGTTACAATAAAACTTTATTTACAAAAACAGTAATGAGCCATTTTTGGCCTGTTTGCCAACCCCTAGATTAGATGCTTCAGGACAGTGAAGACACTAACAGTTGTCAGATACTGAGGGTCTGCTATGGCTTGCCACTGTTCTAGACACTTTATATATATTATTTCTAAACTGAATAACTTTTTATTACATTTTTCAGGTCCTTATTTTCATGGTAGTTCCAACTTCACATCATTTAATCCTAAATTTTGAATAAAAATCACTTGTAATAGAGTGCAGACTTGAGAACTGAACAGACCTCGGTTCAAATCTCAGCACCATCATTTTACTTATTCCCTGTGTGATGACTGGTAAATTATTCATTCTCTAGGTCTTGGTTTTCTCACATTTAAAATGGACGCAATCCCTACTTCAAGGAGTTGTTGAGGAAATTAATGAGATAATGTATGTCACTTCATTAGTACAGTGGGTAACCTAAGTAGGTGTTCAATAAATAGCTATTATTATTGGATTTCTTTTAACCTTGTATAACTTCACTAAGAGATTTACAAACCAGAAAATAAGTCTTTGCCAGTCCAAATTGTGTCAACATTTGGGTCAAAAGCCATGGTTCTCATAAATACAAACCTTGCCAAAGAGAGCTGAGACAAGCCCAGGAACTTAGTCATGGGGGTTAATGCACAGCTCAGGGGCAGGCAGTGAGATGGGTGCAGGACGATGAGTCCCAGCCCAAGCTTGTCATTTCACACCTTATCACTCTGCCCTCCTTGAAAGCAACTGTCCCAAGTATACTTAAATTACTAATTTTGCAATAGTTTGTCTTAATCCATTGAGTAGAATATAAACTCATAAAGGCAATTTTGGACTAATCCAGTGCCTTACACAAAGCAGGTGGTACTCAATAGATACATGTTGAAATTAAGCAATGAATGAGGAGACCTAGGTTCTAGTGCATCCTTCTAACTTTAGAATCTTAAGAAAGTTACTTTTCCTCTTTTGGCCTCCATTTCCTCATCTAGTGAATGCAGGTTTGGATGAGATGATCTGTTAGGTCCTTTCAAGACAACTGACCCAATAGAGAGGGTCAGAACAAGTTCACGTGTGATGATTCTGTTCTTGTTTCAATGAACTTTACTCAGCTCCCACTGGATGCCAGGCGTTTGTTAATTCTGGGGTATACAGAGATGAGATATAGCTTCTGCCCCAATACTTTTATATTCGATCTGACTATATCCTACTTTGCTCTGGGAAGGATTTAAAATGGGTCTTACAATCTCAAACAATACTTCTCAAGGTGAATTTTATGGAACACTAGCTCTATGAAGTCCTCAAAAACAGGCTCTATGGTCAAGTAAGTTTGGAAAACATTGCATCCTATATTCTTATCCTGAAAGTCACACTGAATATTAATGTATTCAAGGCTCTGAGAACTCTTACAATAAAAGGAACTTATTTGATTAGCAGAACATTTTCCAATTTGACCTCAGAGCTCTATTCCCCTCTACAACCATTTATAATTATGTGGAATATTCCATTCCACAAAAACCTTCTCAGGAATCCCTGCTCTAGTGAGCTTGTCTCCATACACAGTGCCTAAGGCACACATTCCGAGCCACTGTGAAATAGCCTGGATGAGTGGGTGTCCTAGGGGAGTGTAATCTCTGCATGTGAAACCACGGGAACACCTTATCCATGGTCAGTTTCTTACAATGGACCGAGTTATACCCTGGGGGTTGGCACTGTCCTATCAGTTTTAGGGGTTCAGAAGAACTCTGAGTACCCGTGCATTGACTGAGGTTTGCTCTCATCCAGCGATTTGCTTCTGGGATAACCATATCCTCATGAGCCAGTATGAGGAAGCCTCCTCCAGGGTGACGTGCCAACTTTTTTAAAGCAATATGCCCATCCTTACCCATTACTAAAGCACGTTAATTCCACCAACCCTGAAACTCATCAATAATTCAGAGAGCCCAGGTGACATTAACAATCTCATCTGGAAGGACTCACACCAGGCATTCGCTAGAGTCAAAATAATGTGATTTTAAGGTTTAGAGAAGAGCTAAGCTTTTCAAAAGAAATGATGCCCTTTAAATGACAAGGGGCCACTTTATACTCAGCCTTCTTAAGCCTATGAAGAAGGCTCCCTGAAGCTAGCATCAGATATGACTAGAAGACTTTCAGAATCCTTGGAGGTATGCTTCTGTTAAGTGGCAGTGGGGCTATATATCAAAATGCCGCATTTCTTTATGGTTCTCTTTCTGGTCCTCATGTGCTTTTTCATCCCTATAGTCACTTTCCTAAACAAGGTCACTGTCATCTCCTACCTTGATGACAGCAATAGTCAAATCGGTCTCCTTGTCCACAAATACTCCCTCTCAACTCTTCTTCCACAATATGGCCTGATTGATCCTTGTTCCAAATGACGTATGTCATCAAGTCATTATCCTGCTTTTAAAAATCAGTGACTTTCTAAGGAGTGGATTTGTGGCATCTTGCGGCACTGATGGACAATGACTGCATTGGGGTATGGGTGGAGACTTGATAATATGGGTAAATGTAGTAACCACATTGATTTTCATGTGAAACCTTAGTAAGAGTGTATATCAATAATATCTTAATAAAAAATATAAAAAAATCTGTGGCTTTCTCATATGCTTATGTTAAAGTTCACAATCTTGGTCTTCTAGAAGGCCCTGCCTAAACAGTGGTGCTTGAGGGGTGTGGGTGTGTGTCTCCTTGCTAAGTGGCCCTGAATTTCCCCTTTCATAACCCTTACCACACTTAGTTGGACTTATTTTACTGGTGTCTTCTCTGCTAGACTGTGGGTGACCCAAGAGTAGGGAACATTTCTGGTATGTGGTATCCACATTTTCTGGCACTTCTGGAGAAGTTCCATGTATTTGTTGAGCGAATGTTTTTTCTTTGGTCTCTCCCAAAGCAACTGGAAAGCAAAGAACAAAAGCTACTTCACTTGTCTCTGAACTGCAAAATACTCTACCCAGATGGGTCCTGGGCTTGTATTGTACAGATCTCTGAATTCTTTTTTTGGAGTTAGTACCCTCCGTACCAGAAAACCAGCAACATGGGGGCTTGGTCCAGTCCTAGATTTTGGCCAAGAATCATCTTTTACAGCAAGTTTTGATTTAGTGATCTAATCCAACTAAAGGTTTGGTTATATTTTCCGAACTAAATATCAGAACAAATGGTTTGAGAGAGATTATGTGTCACTTCCTGGCGAGGATGTCAGTTTGGAAGACATGATGGGACGTTCTTGGTGACTTGTGTTGATGGAAGATAGAACACTGGAAATACGGATTAGGTCAGGAAATAAGGTCACAGGTGTCCAAAATCCTGGCTCTGCCACTTACTTGAAGTGTGACCCTCATTGGGCCACTCAGCTTCCTTAACTTCCTTTTCTAACCAAATGAGTATAATTTTATCTGCTCCTTTAAAAAAATTAATAGGACTCGCTCTTAAGACTCATGGATGTGAAGCAATCTTACACAGCAGGAAAAAAATTTCACCAAATAGATGGTAAGTTATTAAATTTAATCCATCTTGAAGATTCCTCTGATGATGATTATGTGTGAAATGCCTTGTTTAAAGAGGCTCACAGGTGCTACTCTCTCTGCTGGAATGAGTTTACTGTCAGTTGAAGACCAGCATGTGAAAAGAGAGACTTGCCTCTCAACACCAGGCCTCCACTGACGGGTCCCAGTAACACCTTTGCTGCATTTGGCAAAGATGTTTCAGTTGAAAAGCATTTAGTCATTTATGCTTCCCCAAAAGCCTTTTCCATAGGTTTTAAACAGAAGTTTGCTATCTCTTATTAAAAGCCAATTTAGCCTTTTCCTTTACAATTTCAAAAATTAGTCTGGCTCATGAAGTCCTTCTCCAAATTAAGGGTGAGCATAAGCATATGATGATAAAATGGCAGAGAGCTAGCACCATTTACTGAGCACCCTTCCTGCCCATGTTCTAAGCACTTTACAATCTTTATTTTACTTAATCTTCACACCAACCCTATAGGTAGGTCCTACCATCACTGTCACTGTCTAAAGACTCTGAAGTGAAGGGAGGTTAAGTAAGTTGCTGAAGGTCACACAGTTCATTAAGCGTTGGACTTGGGGTTCAAACACAGGCCATCTGTCTCCAGAGTATGTCTTTAACCACTAAATGATATTTTGTGCCACGTGCCGGGTCAAGGCTTGAGGTTAAAAAGATGAACATGGCATGGTATTTCTCCTTGGGGAGCTTGTAGTCTTTTAGGATCACATATATCTGATCGTTCTGACACTTCCTCATAGAGCAGTGAGGCCTGTTTGGAAAATGAGGTACTACTGGTCAATGTGAATGCTTAAAACTGGAGGGATTACTGTGCCTGCAGGAAATACTCTTCAAAGATAAAACTTACCAAAGTCAGGCCTTATCTGAAAAGGAAAAAAATAACCTGAGACAGGCAGCCCATGCCCTCCCTGAGGTCAGGAGTCCGTTTCCCCCTTCCGGGCGCAGTACCTAGCACACAGTACTGAGACTAGTGAGCGTTCTCTATGTGGTTGTGGGTGAATGAGCACAACATAACAGGACGGGGTTCTAAGGTTTCATAGTTTGCTCTGGGGTCTCTTCTCTCGGGCTTCTCACTTTGGGTCTCAATTCTCAGTAACTTCCTTCTGATGGGCCAGGGGCTGTAAGGGACGGGCAGGCTGATGTGAAATGGAGTACAAAGCGTGAGGGATGTATGTGTGTATGGGGAGGGAAGGACAATAGTGTAATGGTAATAACATGAATGGATTGAGCACTTTAGGGGGAAGAATGGCACTAAGGTCTATCAACCACCTTGCGACCAAAAACCTGCCCTCTGGGCAGTGAGTGCCCTGACAAAGCCAGGGCTGCAGGAGCATCGAGACACCATGCTGATGGGGTGTATATACATTTCTATATACACATTTCTTCTTTTATGCTCATATACAAACACACACACAAAGACAATAGGTAAATAAAGGAAGGAAGACCATACCTTTAACTACCCTATCCAGATAGTGCGCTTGGGAAATAAAAGACAGGACATTTAGGGTAGGATCAGATAAATGCAGTATTGCCTGCCACATAACCATGCCAGGTGTTGAGGACACAAAGGGGGATGCACCCCACATTTGGGACATGCCTGCCATGGTGGGGAAAATAAAACCAAGGACAGGATGACACACGAGAGAAGGAGGGAAAGCAAGCACATTCTCCAGGAAGGGCCCAAAGGAACTTCAACTCATTCTCTGATCCAGGAGTTTGGCAATATGATCATATAAACAAGAAGACATATGGATAAGGAAAACAGGAGAAAAAGGAGAATGGGAAGCTGCAAAAGTGGCCCCACTCCTGCTCTGTCAGGTTTGTTCAGCTTTTTGGAAAATCAGAGCTTCCCTTTGTCTACCCAGAGCATTATCAACTTCCCTTTAGGGAAGCAGCTGTAAAAGAACAAGTGCATCCCGTCTGGGCAGATGGGTTTCCGGGAAGCTGGAATTTAGGAATATGCAAAACTGGAATTGCCTTTGATAGACACTAGGGAAATGGGTCGAGTCTTTTGTCAAATATACCGCTAAGTGATCTACTTGACATTGTTGAGTTTTCTATGGACCTATGTGCCCCCAAGACTTGAATGCAGAATGCTCGGTGTTCTAAGTAAGATGCATTTTGCTACTTTGTGCATCTTACATAGAATGTGAGGTGCAGGTCAATGGATGTCACTGGGGAAAAAGAAAAGAAAAGAAAGAGAAGGAAAGAAAAGAAAACCTGACCACTTTTCCAGGCTTATTAACTCAGAAGATACAATTATCTATGTTTATTCTCCAGTGGAGGGGTTGCATCCGAGCACTGGGTTATTTGGCAATTTAAGGTTTTTGCTTATTTGTGAGGATGGGTGTCAAACGTTGCTCTGAAATAATTCCCACTGTGGATATATGGGGTTCTGTGTTCAGAGCAGGGCAGACCTCTTCTTTCCCAGCATACATCAGTTAATGCCATTTCACTGGCCCCACCAGGCTGCTGTAGTCATAGCCATTTAGAAGCTTCCCTTTTCTCTCCTCTCTATGGCTCCCCTATATGTGCTCTCACAAAGGATGGAGAGATGCCATCTCCTGAAGGGCCTGGTGCTTTCTGCCAGGCGGGCCCCATCCTCGGCTTTATTTCACATATGAATCAAAAGTCCATAAGTAAGACTGTACTGCAATGGTGGGGTCTTACCTGGAAACCCTAGGGTTCTATAAACTGTAAGAACATTCTTACGCTCTTCGTGAAGAAGGATAAATTTTGCTTTACAATCCTCTGTAAAGGATAGATACTGTTGCTGTTCATCAATATATATCTGCCTCAAAAGATGGTGGATGAGAGGCTATGTTCTTAGCTCAGGTATGCATGTGGTCTCTGTTTCAAGATGAAATATGCTCTTGGAGTCCAAAAGCTGGTACCAGCCCATCCATACCAAATCTAAGAGTTTTCTGGGAATGGAATAGAACTTCCTTGGCTCTGGCTACTGCAAATGGAAGTGATAACTGGAACTTTCAAGTTTAATGCCATTCATTTATAAAAGGCATATAGCCGAAGTCCATACTGTCGCTGACGTCATTGTTTAAAAATCTTGGCACATACAGCACAGTCATTCAGAAATTCATGTTTTCCAAGTACTAACTTTAAGAAAAGATGATGCAAAGTGCATGCATTTGCGTTAAAGATGGTGGATTCAGGACTTCACAAATTCCCTCATCTTTCCCCTTAGGAAGATGATGATGGCAGTAGAGTCATCTTTTCTCTGGGGCTATGCTTGTTCTTTCAACACTGCATAAATGTTTCTTACGCTCCTGCTACATTCCTGCCACTAAGCAAGAAGCTGGAGACAGCAGGGCATACAGCTATTTATGATACCGACTCTGAGCCTTTGGCATGAGGTTAGTCTATAAGGTCTTAGCTGTCTTTAGCAACTCTGTGACTTCCAACTTCAAAACTTCTTTTCATGACTTGACTGTACCAACAGAAGTTTCCAAAGGTTTCTCCCAGGATAATCTCTAGAAGTTTCAGGGGGCCTCTGCCAAAGGCTGTGGAGAATATGGAAAGAGGCTTTTCATTTTCTCTGGGAGCCTCAGCTGACTCTACCAATGGTATGGCTGGTATACATGAGGCCAGGTTAAACAAGGATCTTTACAGCAAATACTGCTTAGTTTGATGTAATCATCTGAACTTCTTTCAGTTGGATGACAAACCATCAAAGTGATGTTCTTGTTAAGATCTTGGATGTGTTCTTTAGTGTTCTTCCCTCTCTGTATGAAGAATCAGTGAGTAAGTGGCCAATGGCACCCACCCTGAGGACTCTCAAAGCCCACAAACTTTTCTCCAGTTTCCCACCCCTACCATGTGTGGGCTGAACTCTTCCAGAATTACCAACTAGTCAAGCTACTGCTCTGCCATCTCGGGGGTAGATCTCCCTCTATTTTCTCTCTCTCCTTGTCAGCATCTGTCCTGCCAGGTCACAGGTCCTGCTGTGAAAGAATGCCTTTGATGAGGGATAACAAGGGTTATCGCACAAGCGCTGGTACCTTGTGAGTGCCTTGTGAGCTCCTGGTTAAGGACTATCTGATTACAAGAAAGAAATCTGAGAGCTACCATTCAGTGCAGACACAGAACTGCAGAAGATTTTGTGGCCTTTCTTCATAATTTCTCCTCATCGTGAAGTCTGGCTTTGCTCACTTAGTTAATTGGATCATCAAAGTATTATTTTGCTCTCTACTCCCAGAGGAGGATTTGCTTAAGAACAAAGTTTTATATGATTGGCTAGCTCTCCTGAAGTCCAATAAATAATTCTGTATAACTGGCATACCGAACAATCACAGCTTTGGGGTCATGGCTGGACTTATTCAAATGTAATCAGAAGCTGGGATTTCCCACCTGTGTTTGGAGACTATATAGACAAGGGGTACTCAAGTGAAAGAAGTAACTATTGAAAAAGTGATCCAAAATGTTGGTAGTGTTTTCAAACAAATGGGAAAAATTAAATACCTTTTAAAAAAACTATGATTTTCAACTTCCTCTAAATAATGGAGGTCAAGCCCCAGACTTAAGAGACCCATAAAATTCCTGGAAAAGACATCCAAAAGTATGCTTTTTATGATTCTGTGTTGATTGTATATACTTGAGAAATATCCAAACCAATCCATCTTACCTTAACTTCTGGACTAGGAAAACTGGGTTCCATATATGAAAGTGGGAGTATTAGTGATGAGTAGGAGAGCAAAAATGAAAAACCCCTTTTTACCTGTGGGATATTTCTAGGAGCAGGTGACTCAGTCTCAGGACAAGGGTGCAGTTTTGTGAGCAGTGGAGGAGGGCACAGGAAGCCCGTCACCGAGGGGGCCTCCTCCAGCCACTCCACTCTGCGATTCACAGAGAAACGGAAGCCCCCTGAGAACACACGGTGCTTTTACCAAAGACCTTTCTTGAAGATGCAGAGAGAGATAACTCCTAACATAAGGAATTAGGATTCAATGAGAAATATTCTTGCCTTTTGGCAAAAATACTGTCATTATAGAGGATGACACTGTCAATTTCCCTTTTACTCTGAAAACCAATCTCTTTTGAGAACAATCAAGTAGCTTCCATGAGAGTAAAGGTGGACTGAAGCCTCCAAAAGGAGATGTTTAACTCCTGCTGTAATAATCTGCTGTGGGAAATGTCGCTGGGGTAAAGAGTTTCTCATGCTGGAGACTTGATCATGAGAGGCCTGGCCGTGTATTATTCTTTCCTGCCCGTTAGGTAACCAAGTCATTCCTTCCTGTGTCTGGAAGGCAGCAGTGTATGAATAAACAGGCCTGCCTTTCTCTTGCTTCCCCTACATGGAGGTCTCTGAATCAGTGTCATGGACACCAGCTTTTCTCCAGGATGGGAGGTAATTATACTACAGCACATGAGCTAGCTGTGCTATAATGACCTATTATGTAATAATGAAATCTGATAACACGAAAGAACTTCACACTTGGAATTTCTGACTTTTCACATCAGTTTTTTCTCTTCCTAAATGATCCTTGCAAGGAGGGAAGCTCCCTGGCAACATAAAAAAGGGCTTCTTGCTACCATCCAAAAATGAAAAGGGGTTTCTCCTTCTTGTTTCTATTCCAAAAAGAGAAAGAAGGTACTACTGCTGTTTCTGTCATTTGCACCCCCTACTCCTTCCCTTATATCTGACCAGGTTATTGAAGTGTTCCTTCAGGGCTAGGGTGTTGGGCTTCTCAGGGGGTATGCAGCTGGCCACAGGCAGAGACCCACAGAGCTGACCACAGGCAGAGAACCACAGAGAGCAAGTTGCCATGCAGGGAGATTAGACGGGGACAAAGGAAATGCTCACTACACAATGAAGGTAACAGGATTCCCAGCCAACGTCCTTTCATCTGAGCCACTATGACTAGGACATTACTTCTTCAATGTCCTGTGACATTTTCCTGGAATTTATGACTGTCACCCTCCCTCTGGAGTCGTGCACATTTACTTTGATCCATTTCTTATCTGGAGGGGAAAAAGTATCTGCAATTGAAGGAGAAATCTGCTCTTACAGAGTGACAATGGGGTGTGCTGGGGAGGCAGGAGGGATGGTTTTACTTCTTGGCATCAAAATGAAAGGGATCTTCTTCAAGCCAGGCTAATGAACATCCCTAAGACACTAGATGTAGCACGGCCTGCCTACAATCCCTGTGGTGAGTTATCTGTAACTGGACACAGGGAGAATTTCCCTAAATCCCTCATCATTTGACTCAGAAGAGATGCTTTTATCTTATGAAAATCTGACATCTATACACTTTTTGGCACTTGATAAGGTGAGCTGGGGACTCTGTAAGCAAGTGATAGAAAACAATATGCTGTCTCTGGGCTCTGATTTATGTTTCAATAGGGATGGGCCTCCTTCTGGGCTGGGATGCTAACAGGTCAGTCCATCCTCTGTCACGCAGAAGAGGAAGGTGATGGGAAGCAGAGTTTAAAAGAGAGGGTCCCTGGAGTGACCAGCTTTAAGAGGTGTCCAGGACCATCATAAGGTAGGAGGACATGGACATAAAGAAGTCACCCAGAAGCACACAGGAAGATACTGTGGCAGCTCCACTATAGAAGAACAGGGAGGGCTGCCACCGGCTAGGGAGTGGCTGTGTTAAAAGTCTGGATTGGGTAGGGTAGGTATGATGCTCAGCACTACCATTAGGAAGGCACAGCCTCCGGGAAGGTCATTAGCCCAACACCTATGTAGAAAACCTGGGCTTCGTCATGCAAGGACTGCAGAGCAAGCAGCTGGTGAAGAGCCCCTGCACCCAGGCTCAGGAAACTGAGTGGTAAGTTCTTGTTCTACTTCTTAAAAGTGACCTCAAGTCTTCGAAAAAAAAAAAAAAAGGGAATAATGGGTGTGCCTTTGCAGGGTGATTGTTGGGAATATGAAATAATGTTGTTAAAAGCCCTTAGCATGATGCTTGGCACATTGTAAAAACTAAAAAAATAGAGCCCATTATTATTAATATGTGTAAGCTGTTCCACAGACATTTGTAAATAGAGTGAAGTTAAGGGGGCAGGAACAATGAATATAAAGTAATTTCAGGCTACAAAAAGAATAATCCCCCCCCTCAAATCAGATAAGAGGTCACTCCATTTGCTCAAAATTCCTTTGTTCCCCAACAGCTCTGGGGCTTGTCTCCCAGTTTCTACAGGACTCAAGAGGCAACTTCTAGAGCTGGAGGGACCCCCAGAATCCTGTCTCCTAAAGCCATGTGCTCACCGTCTGATCAGACTCTGCCTTTAAAAACTTGGAAGGGGAAGAAGTTAAAACACACAAACCAATTGATTCAATAAAAAGCTTTTGGGGAGTGCTCTTTCCAGGATAATAAACCAAGCAAAACGTCTGGCTGTGTTTAAAATCAACAAAACCAGCAGGAAAGGAAGAAGGAAGGGAGCGAGCGATCTGCTTGTTTTGAAAGCTGCCAGCGGTGCCTCTTTGGCAGGACTGGTGCCGAGGGGCCCCCAGGGGAGGAGAAAGGAGACGTGCCCGGACGGGGTGGAAGCCGGGGGCAGGGAGGGAAGGATCCCAGGCCTAATGGGAGACAGATGTGGCCTGGGGTCCAGGGATAGCTTTCCCCAGGATTCCTGTCCTCTTTGGGAGCTACAGCCCCAGAGGCCAGTGGGTGTGGGGGGCTCAGAGCTAGGCCCAAGCCCTCCAGTCAGATCACGGATTTGATAATAATGGCTGTATTTATTCAGCACTCTGAGATGTGCCAGCCTGTGCTACGGTCTTTACATCCACCATCCCTAGTTTATAGGTGGGGAAACTAGGCTGAGAGGCACTGGGACTTTCCTGCAGCTGCACACCTGCCTCGCTCCTGAGCCCCAGCTCCTGAGCACAGGGGCATACTGTATTTGGCCCAGAAAGGCCTACACAGCAAGGTAGGCTGACCAGCTCACTGGGATCTGGAAATGCAGACAGGGAGGGGAACAGTTAAAAGTGCTCCATTGTGAGATTAGGTCTGACTGATGTCCAGGAAATGCCAATCACAATGTGGCCAGATGAAAGGACATTTTGCCCAGTTCCCACATGCAAAGGGGACCTGGCCTGCGCCCTCAAGTGCCCGGGCAGTCAGAAGAAGGGGCCCCGGGCCGGGCCGCCATACCGATGGTGCAGTGCTCGCCGTTCCAGCCGGGGCTACACTCGCACTTGCCGTCGCGGCAGGTTCCGTGCTCTGCGCAGCGGGGGTGGCAGGCCCTCTGGTCGCAGGCTGCCCCCATCCAGCCATCCTCGCAGCGGCAGGTGCCCCCCACGCAGACGCCGTGGCCACCACAGTCAGCAGCACAGATCTCTGTGGAGACGGGGAGGGAGGAAAGCGGGCCAGGATGGGCAGGATAGAGAAAACAAAAGACTGGGTGAGTCACTGATGGCAACTGGGGCCTCAGCTGGCCACCCCCTCGGCGCCTGCGAGCGACTGGGCTTCCCGAGGACAAGGCCCTGGGACGAGAACAGTTCTCAGGCAGAGCCTGTCCCGAGTACCCTTCCCCACCAAAACAGGGCGGCGGGAAGGGCTCTGCTCTGTCTGCGTTTCCCGTTGCCAGCCTGTCCTGGCTTGCGTTGCTCACCACTTCCAAAGGGGACCGGCCTTCTGAACAGATGTGAGAAAAAGTCAGATTTACTTAAAAACTGGTTGTGTGTGAAAACAAACTGAGGACGAGTCCCCGACTGCCAAGCAAAGTGCTGGTGGGTCTGGATGGGGCCCTTGCACACTTTTGGGGCTGGGTTTCCTTCCAGCCCTGCCCGCAGTTGAGGTGGGGTGCAGGGGGCTGGCCCTGGGGCCATGGGTGTGCTCTGGGGGGTGGGCTGGTCTGTGCCTCTGCTGTCTGTCCCAAGTGCTCCTGCTCACTGCTTTGTTACCCCAACTCTAAGCCCCATCTAAATGGCCATTCTGATCCAAAGCAAACAGTTTCGGGGCCACCTCAGCCACAGGGGAGTTGCCCAGACCTGTCATCACAAAGGCCCATCTATGAGATGGTGCAAATCATACACACTTGATTCACAAGCCCCCTGGGCTCAAGGCCAGCGACAGCCTCACGGTTACACAGGCAGGGGCTATGAAGGCTTCAAAACACAACTGCCTTTTAGGAGAGAGGCTGAGCAACTGTGGCATGGATGTTCCCTGCCAGGGCTGTGATGGACACCCTCACTTGATTCTGTGCCTCACGGCCCAACAGTCTGCAAATGAAAATCCCAACACCTTTAATTTCTTTCCAACTAAATGAACTGGCATCCAGGTCGAGTTGCATTTGTCCATTACTCCATTCCAAGCTGTACTCCTTCCTGGCTTAGAAGCTTATTAATCGTCCAGCGACTTTTGAAAAAAGAAAGAAAGCAAAACTAGATCTTAGAGGCTCAGCCCTTCCATATCAGTATGCACGGCAATGCCTGAAATGTTTGAAAATTTAAAACCAAAACAAAGAGCGAATGAACCATATACAGTGTGTTCCTACACCAGCCCCCTTGCCAAAGCTCACTCCCTTGAAAGTGAGCAGTAACACACTGGACTCCCTGCTGCCCAGAGGAGAGGGAGGCCTTGGTAAAGTGTCCTCCAGAGGAGCCAGAGGACTGCTGGGTCCTATGCCAGGCACGGGGGCTTCCGAGCCGTGTGACCGTGGCAGGTTCTTTGACTTCGCTGATGTGTAGAGCGTGGGCAGTAAGGAGACCGCCTCATAGCGCCTCTGCTGACCATCAGGGCTGCGGTGAGCACTGAGTGAGGGCATGGAAAGATGTCCAACTCAAGAAACATTCTCAGGATAAAGAGCTTTAGACCACAAGTCCAGGACAGGTTGACAAGGTCCTTGCCTGCTCAGCCACTGTGCTAAGCTGCTGTGCAACCTTGGGAAGGTCACTTTCTCTCTCTGGTGTCAGTTACCTCACCTTCTGCCAGGGAGCCTGATGGCACCTAAGTTCCCTTCCCGACCCAAGACTGCGGGAGTCCATGATATAACCTGCCTCCTGGTTACACAGCATGACCAACGCCCACGGCTCCGCTCACGCGTCCCTCCTCTTCTGAGAGGCCTCCTGCGATTCACCCTGTGGGTCTTCTCTTGCTTTCTGCCTTTCTGTATTACATGCTAGAGTGATTATCTGTTTCTCTGTCCATCTCCTTGTCAGACTAGGGACACCTGAGGCTGGATGGAATTCTTCTAATCACTTCTGTGCCTGGTACCCAGCACAGATCTTAGCACAGAACAGCCCCTTACTTAAGGTTTGTTGGATAATGGCTGGATCTGCGTGTGCTTGGGGCTATAGGTGCCTGAGAAAGTAAAACAACTCATGTGCCCCCTGTTCAACCTGGCTGAAAGTCTGTCTAGGCCTGTGTGTCTGCTTATCTCTGGTGAGCTGCCTTTGAAAACCTCCCCAGTGAGAGTGGGATTGTGGTGCAGAGTGTTTCTATGATCCAGGAGCCCTCCAGGAAGGCACCTTGTCCAGCTTCCTTTCTTCCTCTTCACACAGAAAATATTTTGGGTTTTCATTAAGACCAAGAGCGGCCATCTCCAGGCCCCAGGCTTCTGAAATGTCCATCCCTTCTCTCTGCACAGCGTTGCAAAGGTAGTGACCCCGGTGACTGGAGGCTAGGCCTGCTCTCTGGCCTGGAGCTTTGCCCTGAGGCCTGGGAGCGAGGGAAGATTAGGTTAACATTTGTTTGGGTTTACTCAGCACTTCTTCCAGGTGGCAGTGTATGGCGTGAAAGTAAACAGAAAATAGCACCTCTATTCACTGAGGTGTGAGCCAGGCGAGGGACAGGAACAGAAGAGCCAGGCTTTCCCCAGCACTGTCTGACTTTGGTCTTAGCTAACAGGAAGTTCAGTCCTTTATTAATTAATCTGGAAGCGTCTGGATGAAAGAGCCAATGACTTGGAATCACATGTGACTCCACGTATCAGTTCTGCCAGTGACTTAGGCAACCTATTCAATTGCTCTCAACTTTGTTTTCTTCCTCTGTAAAATGGGGATGATGACAGCACCCATGTCTGATAAATTCATACTGACTTATTATTCCAATAATACTCCATGATTGCCTACTATGTGCCAGAGCTTGTGCCTGGGGCTAGGAATACAGAGGTAAGGTGGACTCTCTGCCTTCAAGGAGATGATAGTCCACAGCACAAACTGATACTGGCATTCCAAAGATTATCCAAATAATCTGCAGCTGTTATTCCTATATCTTTTTGCTTATGCACATTGAGTAAAAAGCCAGGAATCTAGGACTCAGACAGATTTAGGGTCTACCCTTGATGTTACCACTTACAGTTGACTGGGGAATCTGCAAGTTACAAGTTATGAAATATGTTGAGCCTTACTTTCCATTTCTGTAAAATGGGTATAATAATTCCCACTTCACCACTCCCACAGGGTTGGTATTAGATCAAATGAGGTAATGCATGGGAAAGTCATTTTATCTGGTTTTGTGTTTCCCCAAGCACTCTTCATATACAAGTTCTGATTTAACTATCACAACAATGCTGTGAGAACCAGGCTATTATTCTTCCTAGAGGTGAGGCTACTAAGGCCCAGATAGCATAAGGTAATTCTACAAGGACATGTGGTCATCTGGTGCTTTTTCCTTGTTTTGACAGTCCTCAGAGAGTGCTGCCAGATGGACATTTTATAGATGAGGAAATGGACGGGCAACGAGGCAGGCTCTCCTTAGAGGGGACCCCCTGGTTCTCCCAGCAGATCTCCCTGCTTTTCTGGCCTGGTTGCTTATCTTTTGTTACATCTGTGTCAGCCCCTGGATATATGTGAAAGAAATGAGATGCTTTATGCAGAGCTTCCCAGACACTCAGTCTCACTTGGCTCATCTGCACACTGTGGAGCTGTTTATCCAAACGCTCCATTTCCTTGCCAGTTTACACTAGACATGCTTTCCTGGCATGAAGCTGAAGTTGCCTAGTGGCTGGGCACCCCATCAGCCCTTTACAAGCTGGGTTGTGAGCTTTTATGCATTTTAATGGAAGGGCCTGAACAGGGTGACCTTGTTGTTTATGGGGTGCTAACTGATGGTAACACAACCTGTCAGTGTTAAGTTCTCATCTGCAGATGGCCTCTCTCTCTGCCTGAGTGGGAGAGACCCGCTGACTCATGATGGGAGCAGAAACCTGAGATGCTGCTTTATCATTTGGCCTCAAGTCGTAGGCCCTATTGTTGTTACTTTTTTATATATCTCAGTTTTTCTGTTCTGAAATAAATGGAACTGCTTTATTTTTTTCCTTCTTGATTTTGCTTTGAAAAAGTTGGTGAAAACCAGATAGGATGGTGCTGGAGAGTGCGCTCTGACAGCTCATCTGCCCTTTATGTCCTGGAAGTGGTACTTTGGGAAATTTAGGTCATAGCTCCTCTCAAGTCTCAAATTTCCTTAGTTGTAATCTGGGGATGACACCAAGTACTACAGAGGGTTGTAGGAATTACTCTCATCTGTTTAGTTTCTTGAGTGCCCACTATGTGCAAATCCTAGAGTGGGCACTGAGGCCGCAGGGGGATTGCATCAGACGCAGGAGGTCTTCCCTGACCTCAACGAAGTTAACGTTCTAGCCTCGCCAACCAACACAACCGAAATCAATTAAACACATTAACATGACTGCAAGTGAAGCTTCCAGTGCAGTGCCTGGCACGCAGTCATGATATAAAAATCATGCACACACATATTCTTACAGGAAAGGAAATCGGTGTGGTGTCAAGTGGAGCAGACTAAAGTCAGAAGATCAGATGGGAACTCTGACTTAAGCAACAGACCTGTCATAAGTGAGCATCTGATAAATGCTAGTTGATTGTCACGTGATTAACACCAGCGCTTTCTGACTAAATGCTAAAGGATTGGGGTCTGAGAGAATCTTCTGAAGTACTATGGAGTACACAATCCACAGGGTGGACTTGGACTCAGATTCTGACCACCTGGTTCCTTTGGTTCTTGTGGAGTTGTTGCAAGAATTACTTAATCTCTCTGAACCATGCTTCTTCGCCCCCAAAATGGGGAGAGTACTGATGGTTCCCTACAGGGTGTGTGGTGATGACTGAAGGAAAGCATATGTGTGAAAGGCTCTGCATAAACTATGCTGTGTATGTGCCTGATTGACAAGAACCTAAGATGCCCTATATTAGCACAGCTCCTAAGGCTCTGCGTAAACTATGCTGTGTATGTGCCTGATTGACAAGGACCTAAGATGCCCTATATTAGCACAGCTCCTAATCGCTGAGCAGAACATCTCACTGAAGAGCAAAATATGTCCTTTCCTAGTAGCAACCTCCAAATTTGAGGGTGAAGCACCTTCTCTGGTCACGTAACATGGT